CCCCTGCAAAAAAAGGGAAATTCAGTGGGGGATGAAGGCTTGGTTAGGGTTATAGCAACTACCTGAGGATGCCAGGTGCTGAGACCAGCCTAGAACCTTGTAAATAAATCAGTTATTCAACACATGTGTGGAAATAGAATTTAATAGCCAAAGGTTCAACAGGAAACACAGAATGGCCATAAGAAGGGAGTTGCCCCCACAAGCACCTGCCCCCCCCGGGGGAAACCTGCACCAGCACTGATTTCTGGCAAGATCTCGTGGTGGTGGGAGGAGGTGGGCCATGTGGTGATGGCACCAGGTGGTGCAGAGTGGCACAGCAGGCACAGCAGTCAGGCAGTGGCACAGAGGAGGACTTAAGAGATAGGGGAAAATGGGATGATCCAAAAATTGGGATATGTGGCTGAATGTCAACCTGCAAAAGAGCTATGCAACCAATTTTTGAAAAACTTTTCACATCACAATTCCACAATTGGCTGGTGGAAAAGTGTTTTTTTATCTTCAGATAATCTGATTATTGATGAAGGTTTTAAGGGATCTATTGCCAGGGTCCCCAAAGAACACCAAACAGACAAGGGCTTTAAGTGAAAACTAGACCTTTATTGGTACAAGCGTACGCAGGGGCAGTCTCTCTGAAGAGTCAGAGACAGACTGCAACATGCATGATGGAACAGCATTCTTATGCAGTTCTGTGCTACACATGTGATTACCATTAGCCAATCCTATGGTCGCAATGAAACATTCTAAAGCAATCACAACCCAGCGCCTTAAATCTAAGCCAATCAGGAATATCGTAACTCCTCAGCACAGCCCTCCCTAACTTTCGCATTCATTCCTTATGATTAAAAATAGCAATTCTTCAACATCCTTCTTTATTAATTTTTGATTAAGCATCCTATTCATTAGCTGTTCTCTAACATCCTTAATCATTAACTAATGATTAAGTATAGTAGTTCTCCATGTTGATTTCCATTCTTCTAAACAGACCTTGATTGAGTGAGGTCGTTCTACCTTACTGATTCCTTGCATTCCTCTAGTATATCAGATTTCTTGTTGCATACTGCCGCCTTCTATATGAGCATCTCCTGCTGAAGAGCTAATTAAAGTACAGCACAATTGCTAAGCTACAAAATAAATTCAAATGAAACAAGAAAGTTGAGTTTTCTCTTTTATTTCCAGTTTTCTCCTTCAGTATCACCCAGTCACTAGAAACATCATGGTGGTTGAGGGGGAAATGAAGGAGCACAAGGTGTGGATAAAACCAAATAATGTCAATTGTGGAGCTTTATATGCATAATGCAAACTTAGCAACACTAGGTGGAGCCATAAATCATGAATGAGTTTTAGCTTCATTGATGCATTGTAGCCAATTGTTCCATCTGCTGCATCCAATGAAATGCACAAAAGAGAAAGGAGCTCTCCTTTGTGAAAGCAGTGAAAGGCAACCTGAGCTGTGGGAGGGGAAACCATCTATGCAAAACGTGTATGGATGGTTGTCTCCATTGGAAACAGATTCCACAGGTTTGGTCCCTATACAACAGAGAACACTCAAGCAGCTCATATTCCTTTAAATTAAAAATAAAATAAAACCTTCCCGATCAGCAATTTGGCAGGGAATAGAAAACAGGCAAAGGGCAGGGCTAAATCTGCTTCCCTTGGTCAAAGAGTAGCTTCCCCACCCGCCTTTTTAAAGCTATGGTTTTCCCGGTAGTGATGTATGGAAGTGAGAGCTAGACCATGAAGAAGGCTGATCACTGAAGAAAGCCCTTTCTGACTCTGGTGACACCCGCGGGGCCCTAGTTGGCGTACTCCAACAGGGGTTCCCGCGGTTTTGTGTTAACCCTTCCCGGACTACATGCCGGGTAGCAGATAGGAGCCAATGCCTAGGCCAATACCTTCAATTCTTTAATCAATAAAGTTGTGGCCATTTCATGCCCATTAAATTTTAAACGCTGTGTCCTGTGTCTTTCTTTCTGGGGGAGGGGTTTTGACACGCAAAGCCCTTTCTGACTCTGGGCAGGAGAGGGGGTTGCGGTCTAGCCCCTCCCCCTGGCGGCGCGGGGGCTGATGTAGCCCCCGCGAGAGGTGAGGGAATCCCTGGGCGTGCTCGCGACCCTGGCCGCCTATCGGCGGGCCGGGGGGAGGCGGGGCTTAAGGTATTTAAGCCGGGCACGCCCAGGGTCCACCCTCTTCTCCCCTGATCGGCCGAGAGGTTTTGCCCGGTCTTCCTCAAGCCTGTTCAAGCGTCGTGGGATTTGTTTTTTTTTTTTTTCAACTGCGTTCAGCTGCCCTCACCTTCAGCCGGAGCTGAAATCACTAGCGGTACCTCGGTCTTTGCTGGAGCTGGAATCTCGATCCCGCGCTTGGAAAGGGTAACACGCGCTTGCCAGGTCTCCCTTCTCGGTGCAGTGCATTTAAACCTCCTTGCTCTTTGGAGCCGATTCCTCCCCTCGCTTGTTGCCGCTTCGTGCGTCCTTCTCCCGCTCCTTTAGCCCTCCTCCCCCTCCTTTCTTTTGTTTGTCCTTCTAAAAAGCAAACCCTTGAATCCTCTTGTGCCGGAACCCTGTCTGCTTGGTGCTAGCGGCTTATTTTTCAGCTTCCTTTCTCACTCCCCCGTTACCCCCTTACCTCTGCGGATCTCCGTGCTGGTTGCTATAGAAGCTTGTGGGCGTCACGTGGTGAAGGCTCAGAAGCCATTTTAGCTAAGGGCAGACCAGCAACCTTATCCACCCTCCGGCCGCCACTTTGAGGAGCCTTTTGGTGAAGGCTTGGTAGCCATTTCAACTGAGGGCGGAACAGCGACCACCCCCACCTTCCTATCACCATTTTGGGGGAGGCCCAAACCACAGGGCGTCATTGTTTTGACGCCACGTGCTGAAGCCTGAGGGGTCATTTTGGGATAGGGCAGAGTGCATCGGCCGCCATTTTGAGAAACCACGTGTGAGGACAGGGGCAGCCATTTTGTTTAAGGGCAAGGGCCTGGCAATTACTTTTGATCGTTAAATTCTTGCCTTCCTATTCCTCAGAACTTGTAGATATTTTCATTGGGCATTGCAGCTTCATTGGATGCTGCCGGTTATTGTAGGGCTGCACATTTATTTTCAATTGAGGAGCGTTTGTAAGCTTTTCTTCCAGCGTTTTCACGCAAACTCCTGGTGAACATCGCCATCTAGCGGCGGGAGTGATATTAGCAGCTTTATTGGAAGTGTTATTTTTATGCCTTTAATTTGCCTGCAGCCTGTAATTGTTTGCTTATCAGGTGGCTTATTTGCCTAGTTATTTTGTTCCTTTGATTACCTAATTCTAAGTTAATTTTTCCTTTAATTCGGCAGCAGCCCGTGATTTAATTCCTAGTTATTGGGTTTCCTTAATTCGGCAGCAGTCTGTAATTGTGTGCTTATCAGGTCGCTTATTTGCCTAGTTACTTTGTTCTTATATTACTTAATTCCTAGTTATTTTATTCCTTTAATTCAGCAGCAGCCTGTGGTTGTGTGCTTATCAGGTTGCTTATTTGCCTAGTTATTTTGTTCCTTTAATTACTTAATTCCGAGTTATTTTATTACTTTAATTTGGCAGCAGTCTGTGATTTAATTCCTAGTTATTTTATTCTGTGGTCGTGTACCTATCAGGTTTGCTTATTTGCCTAGTAGTGCTAGATAGTATATTGGCTTTAGCAGCTTAAATACTAGCTAAGCTTTTGTTACCTCCTGGAAGTTAAGCTCCTGTTTCCCTCAGGATTAGAGAGTCCCCCTGGTGGTGCGGCAATAAAACTGCTAGCACATTTGCAAAGCTAAGCAAAGTATAATATTTGCACATTTAGGCTTATACATTGAGATTGACTGGTAGGAGGAGGAGCTTAGGCAAGTAAAACACATAGTTATTTCTGTGATTTACATTTATAGTGGGACTTAAGTAATACTTTCGAAGGCAACCGTTTAGCAATCATTCACTGTGTGCTATTTGCCTGAATTTCTCTGAGTGTCTCAACGGCTGGGCCAGGAGTGGTCATCAGCACTCTGGTCACAGCTAGCCCGTCCCAAGGTGGTAGTGCAACCAGGGGGTGGATTTGCTGAACAGTACGGTGTAGATAATTTTGAACTACATTTCACCACAATAGGTAATTCTGAAATAAATAGATAAATAAATTAAAGAAATAAATAAAATAAAATATACAGATCCTAAGTTTTGCTAGTCCAAGCCTTGGTGCTGTGTTGGCAATACTGAACAAGAATCGCGCACAGTTCATTATGGCTTCCGACGGAAACCAGCAGTCTACCACTGGCAGCAGCCTGCCGGCCCCCTCCACAAGTACCGATGGTGCGCAAACGGCAGTTATAACTTGTGACCCACAAACGTTAAACCAGTTCTTCAGGGTGTTCGAAACCCTTTACAGACAGTGTAGACCCGGGTCAGCGGCGCTGCCAGCGCTGGAGCCGACGCAGGACGTAATACCTGATACTCCACCCCCCATCCAGGGCCTGCCTGGTTCCTCGGCTGCCCCGTCGGCTAGGGCCCAACAGGGTCCATCAGTGGCTGCTGCCCAGGCGCCTGCCCCGGCAGCGGGTGCTCAGCCAGACGCCGTAGCTGGTGGGCGACCCGGAGCGCGGGCGCAATCTGCCCGCTCTAGAAAAACCACGCAGGCTACCAGTAAGGGCAAGGCCCCAGCAAAGGGCAAAGGTAAGGGGAAGGCCCAAGAAAGGGAGCGGCGGTAAAACCATCTCTCAAGCTATAGGTACACCAAGTGTCTTTCAGGAGCAGCAGGTGCACAGTTCCACCGAGGACAGCGCGGGTTCTGGCTCCGAAGGGGAAACAGTGGAGAATCAGCCTTCTTGCTCAGCGACCGACGCCTCTTCTAGCACGCCACAGGGGGGTAAGAGGAAGGCCAAAAAGAAGCACACGTCGGCTAAGAAGAAGAGGAGCAGGCATTCGGATACCGAGGAGGAGGAATCAGGTACGTCCTCATCAGACTCTGATTCTGAGGGGCCTATGGATGGTTATTGGGGAATTGGGGAATCGAATCATGGGATCCCCCTATGGGCCCATGAAAGGAGAGCCAATTCCCACCGTAAGGTTTTTAACGGGGTGCTGTATTGGAAGGATGGGGCATTGGTGGAGGACGTTAAGGTTGCCACCAATCAACCCACGGACTTCATTTTGGGGAACCACTTGTCACATAGGAAGAGGAATAAAATCCTCAATGGGGATTACGTGGATATTTTTACTCTACTCCCTCCAACAAAAATTACAGGTAAAGGTGAGAAGAGCTCTTATGGTAGAAGGAGGTATAGAACGCCCAGGGCGGAACGCACATTCGATAACTGGTTAGACGGGTACCAGGTTTTTATGGGTGTAGTTTGTGCAGCTTATCCCCACCGCGCCATGGATTTAGTGGCTTACCAGGCTCATGTGAGGCGGGCGCGTGCTCTGGCAGGCGAAAATGCTGCTTTGACGTACGACGAGAACTTCCGAAGGAATGCTTCTCTCCACCCCACCACGCGATGGGACCTCACAGATCCTAACTACTGGGGAGAGGATGTAAACCCCTACATCGAGAAGAAAAGTCAGGAGGCAGCAAAGTGGGTAAGATTGAGCCAAAGAAACGTCGGCAATGCTGGGAGTTTAACAGGGGCGTATGCTCTCGCCCCTTTGTAAGTATCTGCACGAATGCGAGCAATGCTGGGGTAATCACCCCGCTTCTGCGTGCTTCAAAATAAGCAACAGCCCTTTCGGGGGGCAGGGGGTACTTCCATAACAATCCCAGAGGTGCCCCCGGTGCATCCCGTCAAGGTCCCGGCAATCGCCAGTAACACTGACTTAGGTTTGGCATTCACCCCGTTCGCCTCAGCCACTCAAAGACCTTTTGGAACAGTACCCTGATAAGGCCGCGGCAAAATACCTGTGGGAGGGGTTTTCTCGGGATTTAGGATCCCGGTGGCCACTCCACCAAGCTCCAGGGAGGCGGGCAACCAAAAATCTGTGAGGGAACGGCCCGACATAGCCAGAAAGAAGATAGAGAAAGAAATCAGGGCTGGCAGGGTGGCTGGTCCCTTTCCCGAACCGCCTTTCCAGGGGCTTCACCTCTCCCCGCTGGGCATTGTGCCAAAAAAGGCCCCAGGGGAATTCCGCATGATCCACAACCTCTCTTATCCTAGGGGGGGTTCGGTAAATGATGGGATTCCTCAGGAGCTTTGCACAGTGAAATACGCTTCATTTGATCAGGCCGTGAAGATGATCCGTCGATTTGGTCAGGGTGCTTTCCTTGCAAAATGCGATATAGAGTCTGCCTTCCGCCTCCTTCCGGTTCATCCGGAGGACTTCAAATGGTTGGGATTTAAATTTGACGGCGCGTATTTCATTGACAAAGCTATGCCCATGGGCTGCTCTGTTGCATGCGCAGCCTTTGAGTCTTTCAGCACGTTCCTTGACTGGGCACTACGTAACAGAACAGGGTCCTCTGGCGTCTCGCATTACCTGGATGATTTTATTTTGGCCGCGGATAATAAGCCACGTTGCTCATCTCTGCTAGAGGCTTTTACATCCCTAGCCGGCGAACTAGGGGTACCCCTAGCCGCCGAGAAGACAGAGGGTCCGGCCACATCCCTAGTCTATTTGGGCATCGAATTGGACACCATAGCCCAAACTTCTCTTACCCGTTGAAAAATTGGTGGCGCTCGAAGCAACCATACAGCAGCTCTTGCCCCTAAAGAAAATAACATTGAGACAGATCCAATCCCTGCTGGGCCATTTAAATTTCGCCTGCAGGGTGGTTGCCCCAGGGCGGCCATTTTGCGGGCGTCTGGCGCGACTGGCGGCGGGCCTCAAGCACCCCAACACAGGGTGCGGCTATCCAAACAGGTGAAGGCTGACCTAGGGGTTTGGTTGCAATTCCTGGAAAAGTACAACGGGATATCATTATGGCAGGATACCCTGCTTCTTAATGCCGACTTCAAGTTCAATCTGACGCAGCCGGGTCCTTGGGTTTTGGGGTTTACTTCCGCGGCCAGTGGTGTGCAAAACGGTGGCCCACAGATTGGCAAAATCAACCCATTACCAGGGACCTTACCTTCCTGGAGTTCTTCCCGATTGTTGTGGCTGTACATCGTGGGCGGATCAATTTCGAATCACAGGGTTTGTTTTAACACTGACAATCAAGCAGTGTAGCGGTTCTCTCAAGGCAGTCTGCGCGGTCCACCAGGGTGGGTAACCTTTGCGGGCCTTTGTCCTGCTGTGTCTGGAACATAACATTTATTTCTCGGCCAAATTCGTGCCTGGCATTAATAATGATATCGCGGATGCTCTATCTCGTTTCCAGATGGAGCGCTTCCGCTCGTTAGCGCCAGAAGCGGACCAATCATCGATGCCTTTCCCGGAGCATCTCTGGAGGATTGGGAGCGAGATATAATGAAGGGAGTATTCGGGGCAGTGGCCCCGTCCACAATGAGGTCATACAAGAAGGCGTGGGTGGAATTTCTACAATTTCGGGTGCGCACCCCTGGCCCGAGTAGGCACTCCATGCCCTCAACCAGGGAGGTGCTGCGATACTTGGCACACTTGAGGGGGTTAGGACGGGCCCCTAAGACACTTAACATTCACTCAGCGGGGATCTCATATTTTTGTAAAACACTCTTTGAAAAGGACCCATGTGCAGCCTTCATCGTGCGCAAAGCCTTGCAGGGATGGCGCAGGCAGCAACCCCCTGCCGCGGACAGTAGGCGACCCTTAACGTACGAAATACTTAGTAAGATGCACAAGGCCCTTCGTCAGATTTGCTGGTCAAAATACGAAGCGCGTTTATTCTCTGCAGCGTTTTCCATTGCTTTCTTTGGCGCCCTACGCGTAGGTGAGGTAGTGTGCGAAGGGGAAAATAATTTACCTCTGAGGGGGATTTTGTTGGGCGACCTAACCCTCTCTAGTACCGATCTCGTTGTGCGGGTCCGAAACTCCAAGACGGATCAGCAAAGCAAGGGGGCCCTGCTTCGGCTCCAGGCGGTGTATGGAAGGGGCCCTTGTCCGGTTCGGGACACGCGGCGTTTTCTTTACCTAAGGCCTGTCGGCCCGGGTCCGCTTCTGATTCATGCGGACGGATCTCGCCTTACTAGGCACCAATTCACCAGGGTTATGCGGTCGGCGCTGTCGACGTGTGGTTTTCCAGCGTCTGAATTTGCTGCACACTCCTTCCGTATCGGTGCAGCCACCTCCGCAGTACATATGGGGCTCCCCGCGGAGAGAATCAAGGAAATGGGGAGGTGGAAATCTAACGCGTACAAAACATACCTGAGAAGCAATTTGTGACTGTGTGTTGCACCCCTGACCTCCACCCGCCTTTTTATTTGCTTTTCAGAGCCCTCGAGACTGCGCATTTGGTTGGTCGGCCACAGCATCGTGCACTGGGCCAAGTTTCATGCCTTGCGAACTGGACTGGGCGGCAACCTGAGTTTACATCCCAGGGTGGAGCTGGTTTGGATAGCGCGTAGAGGGATGCGCTGGAGCGAATTCAAACCGGTGGTGATGGCCAGGGCTGCGGCTGAGGGGCCGCCAGACGCCCTTGTGATTCAATTGGGGGAAAATGATCTCGCATATCGCAAGGCGATTGATCTGAGGTGGCACATTTTTGACGACCTGACCGAGTTGGTCATTGCATACCCACATGTCACAATAATTTGGTCCTCATTGCTGGAGAGGAGGACATGGAGAGATTGCGGGAGCCCAGTCGGAGTCAACAAGGCGAGAAAGGTTTTAGAACGTGCAGTGGAGCGTAGAGTGGCGGATCTGGGCGGGTTCGTCATCAGACACCCGGGCATCCAGTTCAGCAATGAGGCCCTCTACAGGAAGGATGGCGTGCATCTGTCTGATGCGGGGAACGAAATTTGGTTGGGTGACATCATCGCAGGAATTAGGTCTTGGGTTCAGGGGTTTCCATAGACGAGCATAGGAGTTGGTTGCAGGGTTGAAGGTATTGGCGGCGAGCTTTGCTCGAGTGGCGGTTAGGCATTGGCTGGGGTTCTATGGTTAGTCGAATGGTTGGGGGGGAAGGAACGCCATCACCTTCCCCAGGTAATGGGGTAGTCCGGTACAGGACTCCGAGGGGCGTTGTCTTGTCCGAAACCTGTCTAGGTAAGGGCCCCCGGCACGCCCCAAGCGGTGACACCCGCGGGGGCCCTAGTTGGCGTACTCCAGCAGGGGCTTCCCCGCGGTTTTGTGTTAACCCTTCCCGGACTACATGCCGGGTAGCAGATAGGAGCCAATGCCTAAGGCCAATACCTTCAATTCTTTAATCAATAAAGTTGTGGCCATTTCAAGCCCAATTAAATCTTAAACGCTGCGTCCTGTGTCTTTCTTTCTGGGGGGAGGGGTTTTGACACGCAAAGCCCTTTCTGTCTCTGGGGCAGGAGAGGGGGTTGCGGTCTAGCCCCTCCCCCTTCCTGCGCGGGGGCTGTCGTAGCCCCCGCGAGAGGTGAGGGAATCCCTGGGCGTGCTCGCGACCCTGGCCTCCTATCGGAGGGCCGGGGGGAGGCGGGGCTTAAGCTAATTTAAGCCGGGCACGCCCAGGGTCCACCCTCTTCTCCCCTGAGCAGCCGAGAGGTTTTCCCATCCCGCCCACCCTTTGAGGCGTAGGCAGTCGTAGGTAGGCATGACCTTGCTATGGACTCCGGTTGGTCGCCGCAAGGGGCCTGGTAGGAATTTTTCCAAGTTGGCAAGCTTCGGCCAGTTGGTTTTTTCGCCTACCTCATAGCAAACGTCACAACTTTCCTTGTATTGGCGGTTAGGCATTGGCTGGGGTTCTATGGTTAGTCGAATGGTTGGGGGGGAAGGAACGCCATCACCTTCCCCAGGTAATGGGGTAGTCCGGTACAGGACTCCGAGGGGCGTTGTCTTGTCCGAAACCTGTCTAGGTAAGGGCCCCCGGCACGCCCCAAGCGGTGACACCCGCGGGGGCCCTAGTTGGCGTACTCCAGCAGGGGCTTCCCCGCGGTTTTGTGTTAACCCTTCCCGGACTACATGCCGGGTAGCAGATAGGAGCCAATGCCTAAGGCCAATACCTTCAATTCTTTAATCAATAAAGTTGTGGCCATTTCAAGCCCAATTAAATCTTAAACGCTGCGTCCTGTGTCTTTCTTTCTGGGGGGAGGGGTTTTGACACGCAAAGCCCTTTCTGTCTCTGGGGCAGGAGAGGGGGTTGCGGTCTAGCCCCTCCCCCTTCCTGCGCGGGGGCTGTCGTAGCCCCCGCGAGAGGTGAGGGAATCCCTGGGCGTGCTCGCGACCCTGGCCTCCTATCGGAGGGCCGGGGGGAGGCGGGGCTTAAGCTAATTTAAGCCGGGCACGCCCAGGGTCCACCCTCTTCTCCCCTGAGCAGCCGAGAGGTTTTCCCATCCCGCCCACCCTTTGAGGCGTAGGCAGTCGTAGGTAGGCATGACCTTGCTATGGACTCCGGTTGGTCGCCGCAAGGGGCCTGGTAGGAATTTTTCCAAGTTGGCAAGCTTCGGCCAGTTGGTTTTTTCGCCTACCTCATAGCAAACGTCACAACTTTCCTTGTATTGGCGGTTAGGCATTGGCTGGGGTTCTATGGTTAGTCGAATGGTTGGGGGGGAAGGAACGCCATCACCTTCCCCAGGTAATGGGGTAGTCCGGTACAGGACTCCGAGGGGCGTTGTCTTGTCCGAAACCTGTCTAGGTAAGGGCCCCCGGCACGCCCCAAGCGGTGACACCCGCGGGGGCCCTAGTTGGCGTACTCCAGCAGGGGCTTCCCCGCGGTTTTGTGTTAACCCTTCCCGGACTACATGCCGGGTAGCAGATAGGAGCCAATGCCTAAGGCCAATACCTTCAATTCTTTAATCAATAAAGTTGTGGCCATTTCAAGCCCAATTAAATCTTAAACGCTGCGTCCTGTGTCTTTCTTTCTGGGGGGAGGGGTTTTGACACGCAAAGCCCTTTCTGTCTCTGGGGCAGGAGAGGGGGTTGCGGTCTAGCCCCTCC